GCTCCGAAAAGCTCATGGTTAAAAAATTAAACGCATCTTATAATAGCAATGGCCTCTAAAGGACTAGCATCGAAATGTCTGACACAAAGAAGAATATCATTAAAATTAGTAAATTAATTAAATCGAAAAGAATAATTTCAAATAGATCTAGCTAGGAAGAAGTAACTTTGAAACAACCTACACCAAAAAGAATAATTTATTATAAGATAATATTGGAAAGAAAAAGCACAAACTTATAATAATATAGTTACATATTTGCCCAATAGATGGAAACACCGTTTATGAATGTTTGTCCGAAGTTAAGGGCAAAGCTACACAATGGGTTAGCTGTGCACCAAGGATATGGAAACCCAGTTTCTAGCGTTGTAAGTCCGCAGACCATTTAACTTCTTAAAATGTGTATAAAACTCTTAGTGTTAACATAAAAACATATGCGTAGACGTAACCAATTGGCGTAATCTAACTTGTGTGTAATAAATAAAGTCTTAGTTATTAACTAAACGCTAAACAAATTATTTATGCGAATAACTCAAAAGTCACAATGCGTTATTGAATAAAATGTGGAACAATGAAATATTCATTATCATATAGTTCCTCCACTGACTAACAGAGTTTCTGCCTCAATTTATGAAGCACTATACGACAGACACTTAACATTGTGAGGTACAAATTCTGTAGGTATTAAGTGTTTCTCTTGGACAAAACTCTCATAAACATCTTTTGAAAAAATGAACTTATACTTCGTTGATTTTCGAAACCGAAAGAAAGTTTGTTGTATAGTATGTATGTATTCAGTCTAAATTATTTGAATATTTAATTCCCTCGTGTTATATTGTTTGTTTGTTTTGGAATTTCGCGCACAGCTACACGAGGGCTATCTGCGCTAGCCGTCCCTAATTTAGCAGTGTAAGACTAGAGGGAAGGCAGCTAGTCATCACCACCCACCGCCAACTCTTGGGCTACTCTTTTACCAACGAATAGTGGGATTGACCGTCACATTATAACGCCCCCACGGCTGAAAGGGCGAGCATGTTTGGTGGGATGCAGATTCGTGTTATAGTATCAGATGTTTACTTATTTGTAGTCATGGTATTAATTACGTTATATTTCAACCTGTGTTTATGGAGAAGAGCTTAATTTACAAAACAGTTTGTTTATCCTTTTGTAATACAACGTTGTTGTTATTAAATTTTGTTTAAAATTCGCGAATAGTTAAAATATTTATATATATATATCGTCTATTTCAATTTAGAAAAAATATTTAAAATATTTGATTTTTGTACAGTTTCTCATGTGGTTAATATCGTCAACTGACAAGTAAGATAGAACGATTGAACTAAGACAATGGATATAACATTATATGGATATATCGTTATATGGATATAGCATATGAATGGACATAGGTTTACAAAAATAATGTCCTCATCGGATCGGATCATCGGGATTTAGGTCTTGGAGACCTGGGAGGGTCAGGTACTGACTAAGCCTCTTCCTCCCTCCTTAACTGTTGTTATTTGGTATGCTATTGATTTGTGATTTGGTAAGCTGCTTTGAATGTCTATTAGTTACTGTTGCTACTTTCCTTTTTAGGGCTATGTCCGTTTATGTTGTCTGATTATGTATTTGTTTTATGTAGCTATGTTAGCTGTGTGGTTGTGGTCTGTGATGTTTCTAGAACGAGAAATTGTATGATATGTGGAAGTAGGGGTGTAAGGTGTTTGATTGCTATTTTAATAATGAGTGTGATGCAGTCCTCTTGATTTTGGGGTTTTCTGTATTGTGCTAAGAATTCATAAAATATATCTTTTGCTGCTTCGGTTACTGTATTTGTTGTTCCAGAAGGTTTGTTTTTTAATTTACGCAAAGCTCCTCGAGGGCTACCTGCTCTAGCCGTCCCTAATTTTGAAGTGATAGAGTAGAGGGGAAGTGGCTAGTCACCATAACTTATCGCCACCTCTTGGACTCCTAGGTTGCGAGTGGAGTGCCCTAACTGCCAAGTTATGCCAGGAATGAATGGTGCAGTAGTGTCTTAATAGAAATCGCCACCTTTCGAACAAATAGTGAATTAAATTATACATTTGGCGGTAATGCATTTTGATGCCATTCCTCTGTAGACTATTCTTTTCCAAGTTTTTCCATTTGGGATTTTTTTTTTTTCGAGTTTATTACTTTTGACGTTGTTCCTGATATTTCTTCCGGGTTAAGCCTTTCGATACTGTATCCTTCAAAGCCAACCCATTCAACGATAATCCTGTTCGGATTTATTTCTTTTCTAACTGTTATATCATTCAATAACCACAGATGTTATAGATATGGTGGCGTGATTGCACAAGTGTGTAGATGAATCTATACAAAGAGTATTCTTTCCTTCTAAGCTATTACAAAAGTTTATCTCAAATCTAGTTAACCCTAATATTTCTTCTTACATTGCTTATGTTTCCGAACAGACTCATTCGAACTTTTGCAAAACTCTTTGTAATAAATGATCAAAAGACAACATTATTTCGTTACTCATTTATAAATAGTTAGACCTACTTAGAGTTGCTCACGATTGCTATCTATTACGTTAAATAATAAACATAATTTAAAAAACAAGGTAAAATACTAAATATTGTATGACCTGTATACGTGGCGCCATCTCTTAATGAACATAATATATTTATATATATATATATGCACACATCTCTTGTTTCTGAATTTAAATTTCTTACCTTTTAAAAACGATTGTAATATCTGTGATTTCAAGTATACCACTTTGAACAACATAATTTATTCTGTGATTTTTGGGTTCGAAAGCTTAATAAATGTTGAAGATCTATTAAGTTTTTGCCTGGACTGTTAAAAATGACATGCATATAAAAATTATGCTTTTTTATCAATCGTCCATTAGTCAACTCTCAAATTACACAATATTAGAATTATGCAATCAAAGTATTACACTATTTAAAAAAATGTCTAGTTTGAAACTGATTTAAGTGGTTTGATCTAAGAAAAAAATAAAATCGGGCTCAAAACAAAGGCAGTTTCCTGTTACACTGAAATGGATCTGTATATAATATTAAACTTCTTAGAGTTATCACAAGTAATTATTTGTTAAGACATTCTCAAGTATCATATTTGTTTCCATGTCAGCGAGTGTGTGGCCTAAATTCCAACATAACGATTGCTTAAAAACAAGTCACATTATCTGTCTGGTTGTTAATAATGTAGATTAATAGTCAAATTAACTTTATATTTTATTTGTATATAATGTTATATATTTTAGTGTTGGAATACCACCAACCAAGTCTTGTTTACTAAGTCACTATTACGTTTATGTACAAATACTAACTTTTAAGGCTATACATGAAACACACACACACACAAACATACGTATATATATATATACCAATATATGTAAACCATCAAAATATTCTGAAACTGTTTTTCACTTTCAGTTGTCAGATACTGATTCATAAAATATTTTTAAACATTAGCCAGGAAGTTAATATTCGATCCAGCCTTAACTTATTGAATTATGTAAAACATGAAATAGAGAATAGAACACATTACCCGTGCCTTTTACTTAGACAATCCAAAAGTTTTTGTTATGCTACTCTACACTATTAATGCAGGAACAGAATTAGTTATTGAAATAAAGTAAAATGCCTTAATGGGCAATTGTGGTGGCATTCTTGATGTATCTGATCATTTTTCTACTTCTTTGTTGTTATTAACAATCAAGAAGTTTGAAACAATTACAATAAATTTTATTGATTTCATACAGACTCTCAAAAACCAGAACTTTTTAGAGAAACATTTTCAAAATCTTATCCAACCTTTAAATATTCTAATCTAAGCTGATGAAACCTACAATTCAATGACGACTTTTGGTGAACAATTATATACAAGTCTACAAATACGATACCGATATTATGAAGAAATGAAACAAAATTATATTAAAAATATAATAGATAAATAAAAGATCATGCATAATTCAAAATCTTTAAATACATTTACATTAGGTATATTGTCAGAAAATTGTGAACGTACAGTGCAACAACTTTAATAATTGTTTACGTCTATTGAAAGATATTTATCATGAGTAAAAGAAATTCTGCAGAAAATTAAAAACAGGCCATATTTTAAAACTTTCTACACTCATGTCTCCTACAAGAGTAAATTAACTGGAGAAAAATATTTATCGGTGACGATTAGTTAAAGCATATGAGTGTCTGTGACTTGTTTTAGCTTAAAGTCACTCAAGGTATTATCTGAGTTCTGATCATCGTGGGAATCGAAACCCGGATTTTAATGCTGGAAGTCCGCAAACGTACTGGTGACCCACCAGGGCATTATCCATATTTAATCTTAAATTAATAAGTACGTTAAATGATGTATGACTTTAGTAGTGCAATAACATGTCAGACAATTAAATACATTAATTTGATGTTGATTATTTGTGTTCAGCTTATTTACAATCATTCAGTAGATTAACAAAAATCCGTTTTTGATTTTTCTTCTACAATAAAGCGTGCTGTGGGTTACTGGTAACTTACGAATTTATACGCTATAATCCGAGGTTATATTCCGTCGCGGTGGACAGAGATAACTCAGTAAAAACTTTGTGTTAAAAACAAGATGAAAGAAGGACGCAGAGGTACAACATTCATTGAAAATAATTATTCGCAATAATTAGTTTATGAATGCACAGTAATATTACAGTTACTTTTAATAAAATATTATTGTATTTTCTTCAACCAGATGGCTATATGAGTTTTATAAAACACCGAAATTTCCTTAAGAAAGTTTGAATCATCATTACTTTTACATATCTTAACGTCCTAAAAAGTTGCAAATTATTACTTCTTGTACGTAATTATGCGCGCGTGTGTGTGTTATTTGCTTATTTTCACATAAGCTTCCACATAATAGTTTCAAAGTCATACAGCCAACTACTCTCATAGAATTAATAGCTGTCAGACAAAAGTAGTTTAAAAATATAATTATTTTAATTTTCTGTCATATTGATTCAATACAAAATATACAGACTCTAAAGAAAATTATATCATATCTCAAAATATACAGAGTCTAAAGAAAATTATGTCAGAAGAAATTAGTTTTCATTATTCTTATAGATCACTTGAATATCTCTAATAACATTGAGACAATAATTATTCTACAGATACATGTCTCAGATATTAAATATTAAAATACCTTTCAACAGAAGAAGGTAGTACTTTATTTGGTACAACTGGCTAGTAAAGTTAAAAGTTATTTTTGAAAATCTTTATATTGTAGATAATAACATCTACTAAATAAAAGTTCTTTTTTATTACTTTATGGATCTGCCATCTTGAAGATTTTGTAGTTCTTGTAAATCAGCAAACTTCTCGTTTTTTATTCTGGTGTAGTTGGCTGCTAGAGAGATGCCATAGTGAATCTGTAACATTAAAACATGATTTTTTATACATGATTGTCATTCATTTCACTAAACGCGTTAAATTATTTACATGTTAACAATACATACATCGATTAACCGTTTCGGAAAAATTTGAAATTGAAATAAGTACCGGCCCGTCATGGCCAGGTGGTTAGGGCGCTCGACTCGCAATCTGAGGGTCGCGGGTTCGAATCCCCGTCACACCAAACATGCTCGCCCTTTCAGCCGTGGGGGCGTTATAATGTGATGGTTAATCCCACTATTCGTTTGTAAAAGAGTAGCCCAAGAGTTGGCGGTGGGTGGTGATGACTAGCTGCCTTTCCTCTAGTCTTACACTGCTAAATTAGGGACGGTTAGCGCAGACAGCCCTCGTGTAGCTTTGCGCGAAATTCAAAAAACAAACAATAAGTAATTATCATTCCTGTAAATAATTTAAAAGTTCCATAACTTGAAGAAATATACTTATCAAACTAGCCTAAGTCCAGTAAAAAGGACACTTCTTTTTGCCGAGGAGGTTTTTCAATTAAAAATTCATACTTTAAGCTGAGGTGGCTCAGCATTTCACTTAAAAAATACATGCTCATGACAATAATAATAATGAGTAATTCTGTATTTTTTGTTTCACTAGTCTCTGTGTGATCTTATTTTTTCTCATGAAAGAAACTTTGTATTGCCATTCAAAATATTATTAATTTTAGAATTATAATCTATTTTATTCATCAGAACTACTCTATAATGAAATTCGATAAAGATGATGAAATAGTTATTTTGAATAAAACAGATTATAGTTCTCAAAATTAAGATTTTAAATGACAATACAGAGTTTCGTATGTTAGAAAAGGATCCTACTAGAAAAACAATGTGATAATAAAAGGCATTTGGTATATCCTGCTTATTCCTGGCCTTTTATCAATCGTCTCAGAACAACTATTCAAAGTTTTGGATTGTCGGGCAAAATAATTTTCTAAAAAGAAACTTAGAGTGGTTAGCTAATGTACAATAGTTAGATTTTATAAGAGAGTAACATGTGGATGGGTTATTGTTTTAACATCAGAATTTTGTCTATGATATGATAATTCATGTAATTCTTATATTACTATTTATTTACGAGAGACAGTCAGGGCAATACATAACAACACGTAAGATACCGAAGAAGTTCTTGAAGTAATAAAGAATGCTATCATTTAACATTTTGCAAAAAAAGCAACAAAAAACAACATTCTTCGCATGCTACAAAATACATGAAATATTCAAATACTGCATCAACACACAACCGACGATCAAAGGAGGCGTTACTGATCGAACCAAGTGCGTGTACAAGGGGGGCTAGCAGGATCACTGGACCCCAGTCACTCTTTCCATACAGACTCAGTCATTTCAGTGAAAACAATGTCTAAAGTCGTAGTAGCATGATACCACTGTTGATTTAAAAAAAAATTGTCTACATATATTTTAGTTATATTTATAGTGCTCCCGAAAGAGACTAGAAGTTTAAAGCTTCCACCCCCACCCCTCCACATCAATAGCAGTCAATTTTACATTCCTGCGCACGGCCCTGGATCAAACAGAAAAGGCCCAAGGTTAACTTAAACAAAAGTGGCTACTTTAACTGAACCTGCTCAACTACTACTGGCTTTATAGTGGTTCTTTACATAACTGAAATAGCATTATAGTTTTATTTTAATTTTATTAATTTGAATGATATACGTATGGAAGAAATTATGCTGCACCTGAGCAAAACTTGGTATTTTACAGCAGCGCCATCTAACCTGTCTAAAGTTGTAGTAGCATGATACCACTGTTGATTTAAAAACAAAATTGTCTACATATATTTTAGTTATATTTATAGTGCTCCCGAAGGAGACTAGAATGTGAAATATTGAGCAAATAATAACATATGTTCGTTTTTGAAGTATGAGTGGTAAGTTTATATTTGATATGAACAGAATAGTCGAATTAGCACTAAAAACGCAGAGAAAAAAATAATAATTATTGGCAATAATAAATGGAAGGATAAAATAAGAGCTATAAATTCGTTAAAAAGGTTTACCTTACAGAGACAAAGTTTAATTTATTATTCTTCTATAGGTCAGCAGAAAACCATTAATATTTTTATGTTACAATAAAGGTAATCTGGCTGTCATTGAAAGTGTTATTATCACTTGGCTGGCAGACAAAATGTAAGGGATTATAATACTTCAAATAGATGAAAGCTATTAAGTGCAACCACATTAAGAATATAACCACTTGCAAGTAACGTAAGTAACGTTTGATAAATAATCCTTTTTCAGGTTTTTCGTTTTAATTTCTGTTTCTTAAAAACATTCTCGAATATGAAAACTGTGCAGTTTTAAACAGTAAAAATTTAAGTTATTCATACTGTTGAATATGAAATTTGGAATTAAGGAAACTTTCTAGTATAGTTTTTTTTAGGTTTATATAACACTGATTTACACTCTTTTGTCGTGAAACCTTATTTGATGTTAGTCAACTATTTATAATTGTCAGATATTGTTCATTTTCGTTTTTTTTTGTTAATTTTAGCATAATATATATATATATATGTGAAGACGCAATAGATATTATAACTCCAAACAGCTGAGTATTATTTCAATTTTTAAAACCTTTATGATTTTTTTTATTTTTAGATAATGATAAGGCTAAAATAGTTTAATAATAATTCTGGTTTAAAAGTTCGCACAAAGGATCACCTACAAAAGTTGTAATGTTGTCAAACGAGACCCAAAACTCGAGCGCTTTCGAATAGTTGACTATTCTTCTTTATTCTCGAGTTTGGGGTCTGATTTGAAAACTTAGTTTAATAACAGTTCGGTAACATGTGAAAATGAAAATATAAAATATAGGAAACGCTAAATCTTCTAAGAAAATCATATCAATTGCACAGCCATATTTGTTATGTATTTTAATAACTATTTTCCTGCTTTCAAACATTGACCAGTAGGCCATATAAGTGTAATTCTATAAACAAAAAAATCATGAAGTTCAAAATAAAATTTGTATATTTTCAGCTTACAACACTTTTAATTATACGTGACTAACAACATTTTTGACAAATATTTCTTAAAATAAAACTTATTGAAAGTGAACGTGATCTAGATATCTTAAAACTTGAATATATGAGATAGTTGGGCTAAAACTTAAGCCTCGGGTCTGAAATTATTATTTTCAACCTTTAATACAAACTAAAGTGACGATGGTTCTGTTACGAAATAATTTATTTTAAATGCTCGCTCCTAGCAATAAGCAAATATAATTTTTTAACAGTACGACCATTATGTTTGATACATTTTTATTAAATATTAAAAGAAAAAATAATTTTATTTAGTAACTGCATAAATTTAGTAAAATATTGAGCGGGAAACTTACCAAGCTTATAATAATCAACACGCAAGCTACAGTTGCCAGAATGTACATCACTACAGCTTGTTCAACCTAAGCACAAAACAAATGAATTTACTATTATTTTATAGTGAGTTAAACCTAAAAATACGTTGTTATAGAGTACAAACAAAGATTATGTTTAAAGTGTACGATTTAAGTTCTATAATAGTAAACTGTTAAAAAGTCTGAATTAGTTTGGTGATTTCAGACAATACATACCATGTGTCATTGGAGAGCTCGAGAACATGAAACAAGTAAATAATTTTGTTTTGCACTCACACGTAGAAACATAGATACATATATAAAAACATTACCACAGTTGTAGGCCAGCAAAACCCACTGAATTTGCTTGTTCTTCATGTGAGGAATTTCATCGTTGTGTTTATTATGATCAGTAGCTGTCACAAACAAATAACTGAATTCAAGATGCAACGAGAAAAGGAGATCATTGTCTTTCGAAGGTAAATTCTTAGTGGCTGGTGCTCGATACGTAACGACGTGTAAAATATAAATAAACTCCACAAAACATACTACTCTGGAATGTTTTCTCGCCCATTTACAATTAATAATTTCTTAATCCATCCAAACTTCAAAAAGCGTTGGGAAACGAAACTTCACATCTCGCTTTAAATCCATCACCGAATATTCCATAAAATTCGGTACTTCAGACTAGAGGATCCACTGTGCACCTTCGGATACATATCTATGGATTTCACAGACTGGTTGAAGCATATAAGGAGTTCATCATAGCCGTAACTGCAAGGAGTGAGTTTTCATCGTGCCTTTAACATCGCAATAGATGTGATAAACAACAAAAAACATCATGTGGAGCAATGAATACCGCTACTCATTATATGTGACTGTGTGGTCCTAATCGTGAAAGGTGGTTAGGTATTATCTTGACGTAGTTTCATTTTCTATTTGAACCACTGATAATAATTATCAAACCCATGAATACTTTGTTGCATTTCATTATTCTGGACAGTGTTGTACTGCCTGCATCGATACGTACACGTGAAACGTATAACACCCCTTTCAACATGATTTACGCCATTCAGTATGCGGTGCTTTGACACAAATAACGTCCAAACTTTTAGCCACCCAATTGCCCTGGAGTAAAACCAATGGAGTCTTTCTTGGATCCATGCTTCTCTAAAGAACAGACGAAACAGGCACCAAAACCTCACGTTGAAATGTTCATTCATTTGGTATGTATCAATGATTGGTGACAAGGGTTCGTACCGATTCACTAAAATTGTGGGCGAAACATGATACAGCATTTATATTCGTGTGCTGCTCCAATAATTTCGATAATACGGCGTATAGTATCCTCTTATTGGAACGTTTTGAATTCTAAATTAAACCGCTTGAATGCAATTATATTGCATTATTAATTACTATCTTTCAAATATCCTTATTTTGAATAACACCAACGCGATATTAATAAGTTGTATGTTTTAAATAGAAAATGCTATTATTTTTAGCATCCAGTTAAACATAAAAATTGAAAAATGGTTAAATATAATTTCCAGAGATATCAACTTTTTGAGATGTTTGGTTTTTCGAAACATAAGTATAGACAGTTTATTATATTCTTAGTCTGTAGGCCAAAGCCATAATTGTGCACTTTGTCCACCACTAACGTCTATGTTTAATGTCTATTTTTATTTTATAGATTCATTCTTTTAGTTTACATTTCACCTGCTGTAATTCTGACAGAGTGGCGGATACATACGACATCAGCCTCTTACATGAATCATATGGGAAATGTTTTTCGAAATATTTTTCAAATCTCTGACACTGACATCATTTTGCATTGGGATTTTTGTCTCAGGCGGACTGTAGATGTAATAGCGGTATTGGTTTTAGGAAGTTCTAGAGTGTATAAACTAACCATTATGTTAATTTAATCATCAATAGCAGGGGCTACCTGTTCTTTGCATGGGAACTTGCTTAAAATATTATTTGCCAGTGCTTTGGATTTTAGTTTAACTTTATTTCCAGGTTCTAGTATTATTTCACATAAAGAGTAAACAGTCTGACAAAATGTGCTACTGAGCAAGCAAGTGCAAAACTTCTGAGTGTTGGAGAAGTCCAGCATTATGAAAAGTTCTTGATTCACAATTGATGCTAAGTTTTGATAGCCAGAGATATTTAGTACCATAAATCTTGGACTTGTGTAGGAAAGCAAATTATGCTAACATTGTAGTAAATTAACAAATAACAATTTATAAGCACAAATGATCGGTTGTTTGTTTTCTATCATAAATCCTGATAGTCTATGTTTACGTACACTGAAAGGCTGAAACGTTTACATAGAACCGCTGCCAATATAAATGGAAGAGATCAACCACAGAGATTAAATGAGGCATTCTTAAAACTGGAGCAAAAATCCTCATCGATTTTGATGTAGTCAACACATCGTGATCTTTAGCTCATTGAAGAGTTCGATATTCATGACCCTGGATATCACCCGTTGAGACTGAAAGAAAGAATCATGAAACCTTTTGTAAATCGCGTTGGTTTCCGGTATCCAAGTTATAGGTCTGAAACAAAGAACTTTAAATGTTGATATAGTTCCACTGTTGTGAAAGTTTGTTGCATAACTCAAAATTATCAACAGAAAAGGATATTTCAAGGTTATATATTCAAAACACATTATTTACATGTTAGAGATAACCAATTTTCCGACGTTGGGGGATGTAATAATTTTAGTAATTGCTTATGTCATGGAGATCCGATTCTCTGTCAGGATAACAACAGGTGTAAATATGAAGTAGAAAGTAGAACTATAAAATAAAACCTTAATACAAAAGTAGCCATGGGGTGACAGCCAACAGCAAGCCCACTGATAATCTAAAACATACAAAACTAAAATGACCTAACTTATAAAACATCATATATTCCCCTAAATAAGAAAATTTGGTAACATTTTAAATTTCAAAAAACAAATTATATAATTCACAAACTGTCGATTTAATCCTGGAAATATATAAAATCCATTTCGAAGATTCTTTTTTAAACTAAGCCTCAATCTCCAATTCTAAATTTAACTTACGTAGTCTTTGCAGAATTCTTTGATCTTTCCTTCTGAGCAGATCAACAGATTTTCATATTTTGTTCCATTTGGAAACATAAAATCTGTAATAAGAATAACGAAGTTTTTAAGAAGGTAATAAACAAGCTAAAATATTAGAATATCATAGCTTATATATGCCGTTAATAAATATTATATAAGTCTGTAGGTAAAAAGTAAAAACTGTGATTAGTAAAAACAACGATATATTGTTTAGCATACTTTTTACTTTTTTTAGACATAAACATTTGGGAATTTCTCATCCTGAGATATTTATTCTTGACGAGTTTCTATTTGCCAGTCCAAAAGGCATTTGGTAAAAATGGTCACCTGGTTATTTTCCCCGCAAAACCAAAAGAATCGTAGAGTAATAAACTCTTACATTGTAAGTTGACATGAATCTTTTGAATCATAGAGTAATAACCTCTTACACTGTAACTTGACACATGAATATTTTAATTCACAAAGTAATAACCTACAACACTGTAACTTGACACATGAATATTTTAATTCACAGACTAATAACCTACAACACTGTAACTTGACACATGAATATTTTAATTCACAGAGTAATAACCTACAACATTGTAACTTGACACATGAATATTTTAATTCACAGAGTAATAACCTACAACACTGTAACTTGACACGTGAATCTTTTACTTATATTTTGAAAAAACTAGTAATTATGGGGTCAAAGGATGCTGTTGTTTACTTAGTCCAAACTACACAATATGTGCTATTTGTACTCTGTCTACTGCAGGAAACTGAATCCTAGATTTTAGCATTGTAAGTCCGTAAACTTACCACTGACCTACCAGAGGTTGGGGTGAAAGGTTGCGTATTCAGTACACGTGTTATATTGAAATATAATATATATCACTTAACCTCACGTTTGTCACAATTTATTGCCGAAACAGCTGGTTAAATAAGAACATGATGTTCGATGTGTGTAAACAACGATGTATAATAACTAGGTTCAATATATATATAAATTATTATTATTAGTTTAACCAATTTTTTTTCATAAGTTCATTCCCTATACATATAAAGGCTGAATGTCACTTAAAGCTCATCGCATCACAAAACAATGAAATGGATGGAAAAATGGTTTAAACGATTGCTGGTAATCATCAACAGAATATATTTCATAACCAATAGCAAAATGCACTTTGTATGTCACATGTTATCCGTAATATGCTCTTAAGTTGTAATTTAACACAGTAGTTATAGAAAAAACGGCATTACCCAATTTTGAATGGCTTTCTGTAGTATGCAGAATTGATATTTGCAAGGAAAATTGTACACTAAAGGCGTTATTGTGTGGCAATTTTAATATCCATGCTTTAGGACAGAGGGTTTGGTCTCCAGAAATTTAGAAGCTGCAAACTGTATGTAGAAATGAAGAGGCTTGGTGGAAGATACGCAACATTAAGTTTACCAGTTTTGGAATAAATGCACTGTTTCACCCATAAAAATCTCAAGAACGTTAATGCCCGAATTAAAAAAAATAAATCCCGTGTTGCTCTTGGGACAATCTACAAACTATTGGAGCTAACACACACACACACACACACACATCTTTGGTGTCAAAATACTATAGGTGAATTGCGGAACTGGAAGTGTGTGTGATACCATGGAAAAACCATCTGCATGATTATCCTTGAGATTTGAGAAATCTTTACATTACCACAGACACACCTAACTTGCATTTGTTTTGAAAAAGCAGCTGTTGAAAGCTCTGAAGAGGTACTTTGAGCGTTGGAAAGCGGGTTAATTCTATCTTAAGGTCCTTCAGTTGTATTTAGAATGAAATTAGTCCTCAATACGAGACAAATACTCATACAAAAATTTATGTAATCAAAATCCTTTTCTATAACCTCCAAAGTGTCTATACAAGAGATATTTGAGTACAACCCAACACTGTATAGTTTTCGATTTGGCTGTCATTCTTATAACGCACTAAGGAACCAAAGTGCAGAATGCGATTTTGCAAAGGAAAAGAGACGCGAACTTTGAACTCTCGAATTTACAGTCTTGGCAACCTAACGATGATCTGTCATATCTATTACTATATCTATTAATTCGAAATTATATATATCGGCATTGTTAGGCCCTTACTGATATCCCTCCTTTTCAAAACTTTTTCAAGTTTTAAGAACAAATTCTGGATGCCTTTTTTTTTGTCTGTTTTCGTTTTATGCCCCCCCCCCCACCAGTGGCACAGCGGTATGTCTGCGGACTTACAACGCTAGAAACCGGGTTTCAATACCCGTGGGGGCAAAGCACAGATAGCCCTTTGTGTAGCTTTGAGCTTAACTACAAACAAACATTTTCGTTTTAATATTTATGTTGAACAAGTCGCATAAAAATGTTTGAACATAGTCTGTTAAAATTCAAACCACTAAAATAAATAAGTGTAAGCATTAATAAAACTCACATCAGGCCAAACTGTTATTAGTTTCTGTTTGTTTGTTTGTTTGAATTGCGCGCAAAGCTACACGAGGGCTGTCTGCGCTAGCTATCTCTAATTTAGCAGTGTAAGACTAGAGGGAAGGCAGCTAGTCATCACCACCCACCGCCAACTCTTGGTCTACTCTTTTACGAAAGAATAGTGGGATTGACCATCACGTTATAACGCCCCCACGGCTGAAAGGGCGAGCATGTTTGATGGGACGAGGATTCGAACCCGCGACCCTCAGATTGCGAGTCGAGCGCCCTAACCTATTAGTTTCTTCCACTAATGCTGAAACATGTATATCTTTTAACTTGTGGTAACCCCTAAACTTCATACTCAGTCACATAAAAGAAATAATTAAAATCTTTGAAAAGAAAATAACGGACTGAAGTTCGTTTGTCCGGAATGATTTAAAAATATACAATCTCTTTATTTCCTTTATACAGGAAAGGTGAGGTAATTTATTTCATGAAAAATTAAAGAGGGTGGTTACCATTTCTTTGCTTAGCTTTACAAATCCGAGGAATATATAAAACAAGTACACATCATTACAACTAATATAAGCCAAATTTAACGTAATTATTTTTAATAACTTAGTAATAAACATATTGATATTATATTGTATTATTTCCCTTCTTTGATATAGTAGCCGTTTGTTTTAGATCATTTAAATCAATTTAAATTTAGAAACTTTAACGCAAGGTACAACTTTATTATTCGTAAATTATTTCAGAATTCGTATCAATTTTACACTCAAATAACCGAACCGTATACATACCGTTCACTACCGGTATGGTCCAGATATCCTATGATATTGAGTAATCCTATGCTTTTGACACTCATTGAAATCATCTAGTTTTTATTATGTAAAATATCATAGGAAATAATGAGAGGTATTAATTGCAATATTGATCTATTTTTGTTTACGCGTCTGTGTGTGTGATTCGCATGTTATTTGAGTCTGTAACCAACAAAGTCATAGATCCACAAACAATCCTTGATAGACGCATCAGGAGTTCTAGGGTTATTATATTTGTGTAATTATATTTCTAACAGAAATAAATTGCTAAAAATATTACTTTTTATTTTGATCAAACATCTATTCCACCATAATTGAAACATTTACTTAAATAAAAATATCAGGTTGATATAAATAGATATGAACTTGCGTAGCCATTTGTGCTGTATATTTTTTGTTTTAAACACAAAACCACACAATGGGCTATATGCAATGAGCCCACCAAAGTTTTAGAAATACGGTTTTTAAGATGGGCTTGTACCGTATATTATATATATGTATACGGATTTCAGAACACTTTATCTGTAGTATGATAGGATCCCTGGTCAATATATTACGCAGAAATCAAACATGCAATATTATCATTAAGACAGTGAACAGTCATAGTTGAAATATTTAACTTCAAGTTAAATAGTTTAACGACTCTTTTAACGTAAAAGTGCCAAATAAATTTTACAATATTACCATAATTTCAAAACTACTGTGAACTTATATTTTCACACGTTTCTACCTGCTCTTACATTAATTATAAAGGTTAAAACTCGACAATACATACCAAACTGTGTAAGATCAATGCATTGTTTTTTAGCATCTGTGACATTTAGGTTATTACACAGTCCCCAACTAACACGGAATACGAAAAGGATAACGGTTAAACACGCCAAAATAACAATCCATCCGATCTGCACAAAGTAAGATGTCACCAGAAACTATAAAATAAATGTTTATAAAAAGAAATTAAAATCAAATTTTAATTATCTTCGGAAAAATATTATATGACGAAATAAAATTTTAAAGATATTTGTTCAACAACGAAAATAAACACAGCTGCTTAACTTAACATGAACAATGTTACGACCACAATTATAATCTCTCTCTCTCTACTTATATATATATATATATATATATATATATAG